ATAGGCTGAAGGAAAGTTGAAAAAGTTTTCACCAGTTTAACAGCAATGCTCACTTTATTTTTACAAACTTTTCAACTTGAAAGTGAAGAGTGATATTTGTTTAATTATAACTGACATACCATAACAGATTATATGTGTGTTTGTGTGCATGCATATATATATATATATATATATATATAAATATGGGTGCATAGTTGAGTGGCTAAAATGTTCACTTTCCAACCCTGGACCCAAGTTTGAATCTCAACATGGTCAATTTATCAGTAAGGCAACTTCTGATGTTAATGATCTGTAGAGACGATCTCAGTATGTGCACCTTTTGGAAAGTGCCTGAAAAATGACTTTACTCAAGCCTTGTGAGTGAAATTGTGTAGATGGAACTGTTTGGAGGTCCTTGATGGTTGTGCTAGCACAAAGTTACAAGTCATTGTGACCGAGGGTTTGAGCGTACAGGCATAATTCAAACAGTTTATTACACCAGATGATGCACTCTCTCCCAGAAACTGTAACCAAGGTCTGCTCAGTGTTGCAATATAAATAACAAGTGGGCTCTGTGGGTGTGGAACATACAGAAATGTGCTTGAGCAGGCATCTAACAAGGATTGGCTAGTAGGTGTGCTTAGAAATGAGTAGTTGCTCATGTGATATATGCACATAAACATACGTGTGTGTGTGTGAGAATGTGTATCCTTAAATGGTAAGGAACATGTATTGGAGAAAAACTGATGAAGTTGGTAGTTGTTGCTCACTTGAACTCTGTTCATTTGTTTTCCATTATAATTCTACTCTTGAAAAATTGCAGACAATTTTTATTTGTGTGAGAAAGAGAACATGAAATTCTTGTGGTTGACTGACTCCTTGTATACAATCCATATATAAATCTTTCTATGATTTTGCATTAATTCTAACACTGACAGCAATTATGATGATTGCCATGTGGACAAATTCCAAACAAAAAGCATTTATTGAAAATATATAAGTACCAAAGAAAGATTTTTTTTTAGGCATGAAAACTAAGCTAATTTAACAACAAAAAATTCAGTTTCTTAATGTTTTGCAAGGAAATTGAATGCAAAACTGTAACATAGAATTTGTAATATTGTGAATATTTGTTGGGGATAAAAAGATTGTAGTTTTCAATTTATTTTTTCCCCCCCCCTTATATCTATACATATAAATTTTTCCCCAGTGTGTTTTTCTTCCGAATCATTTTGGGATGAAATCTTAGTTGAAATCTGAAATGCTGTAAATTTTTATACACTGTTTTCTTTGCATAGTAAATTGCTTCAACTTTCAAGGAGAAAAATTCTTAACTATTTGTTGTGCTGTATGTCTTAGATATCTGTCTTTTAAGCAAAGAAGAAAAAGATTATATATTAATGTTTTTTTGTTTTTTTTTTTTTTTTTTAAAAGAAACGTGTATAGATTTTTTTTTTCCATTGTGGGAATCCTTTTTCTTTTGTTCACTTGAAGATAAAAATGATTCTTTTTCCTCTTATCTCTGCATTGGCAGAGGAATCCAAGCAGGAAGCATTCATCGTTTAGGATTATTTATTCTATATATTTTCATTCTAAAGTAAAAGTTGTCAATATTTTCTGAGTTCAAGTATTGCTGCATAAAATAACTCAACATGCCAATACAGGAAAGTATTTAAAATATTGTTTCTATTTTCAATGTCAGGTTACAACACATTGGCTTAAAATACAATTGCAATATTGTTAATAATGATAGTAGTAATAATAATGAAATAGATAAGGATTTTTTTTAATTTTCTTCCTTACATGGCACATGTCACTGCCTGAGATTATGGTCAATCAAAATATTTCTAAACAATTCTTTGTTAGAAAGAAGAAAATAGTTTGAACAATCTTGAAAAAATGTCTCATTCATTTACTCTAAAACATTTATCTAATTAAATAGTGCTTCATAACATGCAATTAGCCATTCCATCATAAACCAAATAGATTATTTTTTCCCAAATTGCAGTAATTCTCCCCCATCCCTCAAAATATTGTTCCCTTCCCTCTGCTATTTTTAAATTTTATTTTTTATTCCTGTTGTGCACTTTCAACTGGTTCGGGTATTTTTAAGTTTTTCAAGGTGATAATAAAAAAAAGGATTCCTTTTTCACATACTGTAAATATGATACATTACAAACTGTCATATCATTGTATGGTATTGCTTATTTTATTTTTTTTCAAATTTTTGGTGATGCCAATAATTATCTTACCTACATATGTTATACATGTGTATAAAAAAAAAGAAAAAAGAAAAAAAAATATTTCAATAAATGGCAGCCAACCAAGTCCGTTATATTTGTAGTCAGTTTTGTTTGGAGGAACATTTTGTTGACTGTCTGCTATGAGTTTTATGATATATGTTATAGTTTAACTCTTTAAGAATGGAGACTTTGTAGCATTCACATTCTGAGTAAATATTTGATTACATTAAAAAAGCTTGATGACAAAATCTTAAAAAACAAAACAATTTATTATAAATGAGCATTAACTTTCATGTTTAGTTTAGTTTTTCCACTCTGAATGTCTTTTTTTTTTTTTTTTAAATGACCGTCTTTCATGGTGAATATTTTATTTTTATTAGATTGCTTCTTCAAAGACATGAAAGTTACATGAACACTTCTCAGAACTAAAAGCAAGAGACTACAGTGAAGAGAGCCAACTCTTGTTATGGTACAAAAATAATGGCACCTGACTTGGTGTCCAGAGTTGATTTAGACCAATGGTTCTCAACCATTTTTTTTTTTTTTTTTTTTGCCCATGGACTACTTTTACTCTTAATTCTTTTTGATAGACCCCTATAACCATTCAATGAAAAGAAAAGAAAATGTTTTTAACTAATAAAGTTTAGGAATTGTATTATAGAAAATGTACATGCTTCCTATATATATATATATATATATAATCCTTATACAATTAATATATTATTTTATTTTGATTAACTTATATATAAAATCCTTTGTTTTTATTCAACTTGTAGTCAGCCAGATGTTTGAATTGTAAAAGGGATGCTTGATCACGTTTTCTGATAGTTTTTTTTTTTTTCTTCAAATTTTAGTATTTTAAGATAGTGTACATTACTATAGAAATTCCAAATCTTAGTTGGGACAACTGCTTTATAGACCACTAAAATATTAGTGACCCCCCTGTGGGTCCATATAGACCCTGGTTGAGAACCAATGATTTAGACCATAGCCCTCTAGTTGGGTTATCATGCATAGCCCCTCTCCTTAAAACAAATCATTGTATCTAAGAACAATGGTTAGCTCAAATTCAGCTAATAGTGGTTAAAAAACATCATCCTATTTCATGCATACACATGTAAAACAAGAGAAACCATCACTAAAAGTTAATCTGATTTTACACTTAAGTGTTATTTGTAAGTATTTCAGAACTTATAAGCTACCAGTGAAAATCTTATTTGATTTAATTATAAATAATTAGCAGTTTGCTAGAGATCCTCACTTTTCATTTAGTTTGGATGTAATTTACTTTATCTGTATGCAAATATGTCCACCTGTTCCATTTTTATACCTCCCATCTATCAATGTCTTTTTTTTAATTTAGCTTGATAAGGAAACTTACAAACAAATGTCCTTTGTTTGAACTCGGAAATAATTCTTGGATATTCTTTTTAGGAATCTTGTTCAAAACCACTCCTGAATTTGTATGATTTAATACGTATTTGATTGTAAATGATTGAGTTTTAGATCAATTTGCTTCTCACCTCCATCAAGCTACAAGTTTTGTGCCTTATCAATAAATAAAGCATCTTTCCAAATGAGGTGTAATAAAATCAGCAGAATTTAACTTCTAGCTAAGGTCTTTTGTGTTTAGTCAAAGGGAGTGAATAACTCCCTATATTAACTGATATGCTTGGATGGAAGTGGTTTAAAATCACATGGTAATGTTGTCAGTCCTTTAATTAGTTTGATTGGAGTAATGGTGACAAAACAAACATTTATACCTCCTTTTCTAGGAAAATCTATAATCAAGTAGATATTTGTGTGTATACTTGTTAATGCTATAGTAATACATTATCAATCATTCAAGTTAGAGAAGTTAATGTATTGTTTTGAACAAAGTCAAGAGCTTTTTATCAGATTTAATCCTCACAATAATACCAAGCAAATTTTTTTTTTTTTGTCATCAGTGTTTGCATTATGAAGTTTAATAATTTTCTTTAATGTTTTATTTTTGTATTTCAGGAATTTAAAAAAAAATTCAGCAGCAAGCATCATTAGTAAAAGTGGTTAGTCTGTTGGTTTTGTAAACCATTGATTATGTGATCTTATATAAACTAATTAAGAAATATGATTAAAGGTTTAGCATGGTATAAAATGATAGCTAAATCAATTCACTCACATTTTCTACTAATAAATTGATGATTTCTATAAGTTACCACCATAACATGGTAGGTATTACAAATTCACTGACTGATTTTAAAGCAAAAGTCATTGGAACATCATAATAATGTCAACATTTTATTTCATAATCTATAGAACTTGCCCATTTAGGGTAATTGAAAATAATCTGTTTTTCTTGGGGGGAAAAAAAAAAATTATGATGTATATACAGTTGAATTTAGGTTTGTTTTCAAGTTTTACAAAAACATCTGAAAAATCTCAATACATCAAATTAAAAATAATAATAATAAAAGGCCAATGTCATTGTACAAGTCTTGTTTAATCTAGTATTTTTTAAATGAAACCATCTGAATGGTTTCAGGCTGAGCTAGAGACAAAAAGAGAACTTGTGGAGAGAGTCCATTTCAGAGGGAGTTTTCAAAAGGACACTCTGAAAGGAATTCTTGCAATGGTGATTGCAACTAGAATTTCTCTTCTGACATCACAACATGGTGGCAGGATCTGGCAACAGTGATTTGAAGGAGGAATGGTTTCTGTGGCTCAGTAGCTCCACTTCAGACACCAGTGCTCTGTTGCACACGGGATACAGAATCAAAGAGGAGACCAAAAGAGTCTTCATCTTTTCACTTGACGTTTTGCCTGCCACAAATCAAACTTGTTGTAGGCGGCACTCAACATTTCCTCCATGTGCCCAGTGAGCTGAGGGATAAAAGAAAAAGAATTAAAATTATGTAAATCTAATGTGGAAACAGATTTTAAATAAAATTTAGAAATGGAGGAGGAAAGATGAAATACTAAAAAATGAGTTTGTCCTGGAAGAGGAGACAAGGAGAATGCTGGTGGACTGTACAGTCGTGGTAAGGGAGAGAAGACAGTAGAAAGTATTGACACATTGGTCCAATGGTCTCTCAGTATGAAAGCAAGCTAAGTGATGTTTTTACTCTTATGGACTTTAGCAGTAGTTTGACTATTGAAGTGTCCATTAGAAATAAATCAAATTCCCTGATTCTAAGACTTCTAGCATATATAGAAACATTGACCATCCTCTAACTTAACAGCAAACAAATTACAGATTTAAAATAAATATTTAATAGCTGAACATTCTAACTTCAAGCAAATTAATTTATATGATTTAAAATAATGGCATATTTTTTCCTGAAAAAGTAGAGGGAAAAATTATGCAATCACCTTGTAATTTGCATTTCTTAAACAACTTGCACAAATCTAAATATGCAACTTATTGTGCAGTTACAACAGTGTTTGCTGACATATAGGAGCTGTTGGATTTAGATTGAAAGGAAACAAGGCTACAAGAAAGCTGTTGAAGCAATGGAAAAGATTATAAATCTCGAGAATGAAATCCAACACAAAACATGGTGAAGCTTCTAAAGTTTGGTCAAAGTATAAATAAAGAGTAGAAAAATTATAAAAGTAGACCATGGAAGATATTAAAGCATCAGGATGAAAAAAAAAAGCACAAAACAAATGTGAAAAAAAATATATGAGTCAATGAAATGGGATTTAAATGGAAAAAGCTGAATGATAACCAAACAAGATTACAGTCCAAGTGAATCAGTGGCTAAAAGTGATATTCAAAGATAGATTACAAATCTGCTGGAACTTTTGTCTGGTCCCATTCACATGAAATATAAAAATGACTGCTTAAAGAAAAGCAAATTTATCCACACCTTTACAATACGAGATTGCATGTCAGGTAAGAGACATGGCAATCATGACCTCAATAGTCAATGCACTAACGTATATTGTAATCTTGGACACATTTCATAACAGTGACAGAAAATAGGTTTGGTGATGAAATCAGCTTACAACATAATACATCTTGCTTCGCTACAGAGCCAAGTGTTAGATGATTGAAAATTGAAGTTTTTGGACAAAGAAAAAAAAAATCCATGTGTCCATTCTACAAAGCTGATATTTCAAGTACTATTCAAGAAAGTTGGATCTAACTTGATGGAGAAAGTATTTAACTAGTATAGTTCATGCTCATTAAGAAAAAAAGGCACTACCAAATTTATTTTTGGCATATTTTCTCCAAATCAGGTATTCATTTGAATTTAATGTAATTTTTGAAGTACATTTAATGAAGCCAGAATGTTCAGTTATGAAACAAAATAGTCAAAAGCAAAATCAAATTAATATAAAATTTGCTCAAAATGTATGCCTTTCATAAGTATACTTAGATATAGAAATAATTCTTAAATTAATTTTATAGAAAAATGGCTGATTAATTTCAATATCCTTACTCCAAGATTAGCTATAAGAGTATGATTTTACTAGAATATGTAATTATTTATTGGAATGTTTACAATTGAAAGATATTTACTTACATTCACTGAATAATGTTGGTTAAGAAGCTGTTCTTTGAATGGATTCAATTTATTGACATGGAATCTCTCCAGAGTAGCTTTCATCTTCACAACCTTCATAAATAAATAATCACAATTTTTTTCAAAAGGTTTTTTATGGAACTTAAAGGGAAAAAACAAAGCAAAAAAATGATTCAATCTAAAACATAAAATTCATTGAAAAGAATTTTGAAATAAAATGATGTAAATATTTTAAATATTGATCAACAATAGAAGAGTATTTAACTAAGATTATTTGGAGGGATGAGTTTCAATAGATTCCATGTTAGAATATATAAAAGACAATAAAAGATTTGGTAATGAGACCCCAATTTAGTTAGATGAGCTGTTTGCTTGCGTTGGAGTCCTTATACTACTTTAATATTATTTTTCTATGTTTTTGGTCTGCATGGAACTTAATTACGAATTTCTGGACAATCAAACTGAATTATGAATACCAAATTCAACAATTATTTAAATTCACAAAAGTGTACTAAAGAAAAAAAAAAATCATTAATAGAATGAAGCTATTTGTTGGTTGATCAAGTACTATATAACAATTTAAATAAATAAATTTATTGTAAAATAATAAATTTATTTCTTTTTCTAGTCATAAAATGGAATTTTAGAAAATCATTAACATCAAATTTTTAAGTAGGTAAAATAATGGCTCCAGCAAAAAAAAAGTTTAGGCTATCTCAAAATAATTTGCTTGGTGATTCTGGATCTATTACCTTTTCTTCCAAAAACTTAGAAGATGTAGGAAAGCAAGACCAATAATGTCTCAGTAATTCACACAGAGCACTGTAAGTCTGTCTCAATTCTTCTTGTGTGTGCAGTGGAATTATTTCTGAAATTATAAAACAAGGATCAGTTTATATATATATATATATATATATATATATATATATATATATATATATATATATACACACACACTTTCAACCCAGAATCAGTAATTTTTTTTTTTTTAAATCTCTCTCTTAAACTATAGTAAACATTTTCTATTCACAAACATGTTGGTAAGTATAATATCATCCACAAGATCTCACTTCCATACAATGTAATTAAATTTAAAATCTGTAAGTTTAACTTTCATAAATAGAATAATGAAAAGAAAAATCAGTTATAAGATTACTGTAAACTACTTAATTTGGTTAAACTGATAGGAAGAATTATTTTCAAAGATTTTTCAATTGAATTCTGATTTCTGTTTACAACTAAAACTTTATTTGCATAAACTTCAAAGAAAAAAAATACTAATGATCAAGTTTTATTTCCCCATGTATTAAAATGTCCTTTAGAAATCCAGGATTATATATTAAATGAAAATATCAGTAAATGTACAAATATGCAAAAATGAAATGCTAATTTGTATTGTCAGGATCTTTACATTGTCATCTAAACATAAGCTCTGAATTGAGAAACTGCCACACACACACACACACACACACACACACACACACATATATATATTCTTTTTACTTGATGATTACATTTAGCATGAAACAGATTGTTGCCTCTGGGTGTTGACTTCAATGTCCACTTTTATATTTACATATTTTTTTTTTAAATGCTATAACTTAAATTTTCTGAACAAAAATATCAGTCTTACAAAGTTATAGTAACAATTTATATCTTACTAATCAATATTGTTTTTATCTATTGTCATTTGCATAATTATCTTTCAAATTTAACTTCTGACAATTTATCAACTGTACACTTGCTAACATGTGTAGAGAAAAAATCTCTTAACCAGTAAGACTCGTCTTATTTAGACAGCTACCCTTAAATGTGAAGTAAATATTCACAACAAATGTAGAATAGTCAAAGACAACCTTTCTGTGGTGGACAATAAGAGTGGTAAGATTCTTTAGCTGCATCTGTTTTTAAGTAAACATGTTGAACTGAAACTTACGTTGAAGGTCTTGCTGAGAGGTTCTCTGCATCAAGCTGCCCCCTGGTGAAAGCTCTCCAAGAACACTGAGAGCAATATGAACAGGAAGAACCTGTAAGAAAGTAATTAGCAATCAAAATACACAACAGAGCTGACTAATTGTAAACAAGTGAAATAAAATAATAGACAAATGATATGGAGACTGATTAACACTTTCACAACCTGAAATTGGAAGAAAGGAAATGGATTTCTTATTGAAATAAATGGAAAAATTGTAAAGTATTGTTTTCTTACATAGGCAACAGCATTTCACTTGTAAGGTAACCCCACTTTTATAATCTGGTTGAAAGTTTTGAGCTATAACAAACCAAACTAAAGTAAAAAGAAAAAAACTAAGCATTTAAGTCTATCTAAAATTAAAAAAAAAAAAAAAATTACAAATGAGTTAGATTATGTATTAGCTGGCAAGAAAAGGTGTCTGTGATATTGGAATTCAAAATTACGCTTACAAATCTAAAAGAAAGAAAAAAATAATTTCAAACATAGTAATAATATATTTGGGAATATATGTAATATATTTGGGAAAAATAAGTCAAAAAGTGAAAGGGATATTTTTAACAAATAAAATTCTAGAAAGCTTAAAATGTATGACATGAAATCTTTTTCATGAGTTGAGATATTAAAAACAAAAAACGTTTCTAGGCTCTTTATTAACCCCCCCCCCCAAAAAAAACGAAGTAATACAAACAAGCAAATATTAACATACATGATTTTGTATAACATTTTATTGACTCATGTAAAATACTTTTTGTCTAAGCTACAATTGAAGTTATTGATTGGACCAGCTTCAAGCAAAGGTAAAACTGACCCACCTGAGGTAGACTTGGGACCCACTGTGGTATTTTTTGATGAACAATTTGAGCTGCCTGCACAATGTCATCCCCTGTTGAATAAAGTGAAGCAGATACGGGGGTTGGCCCATGCAGATAACGTTCCATCTTTGTTAATCTTAATGAGGTAGCAGCAGAATTCTTTTCATTTTCAAGATCAGTATACTGAATTTTCTCTTTAATTCGAGCCTGAAATACAATTAATCAACATATATTCTATTAAAAATAGAAGACACACATTGTAACTAAAGTAGACATGAAAAAACATCCCCAAATTATATTCTCAGTGTAGGTCTTCTTTAAATTATAATAAAACTTCTTCAGCATTAGTTTCATAATTCTAAATACATTATTAGGTTGCCACATCTGAAATGACGCACTTCATAGGAAGTAAATAAAATGCTTCAGAAATGTTAAATAACTAATTTATTTAGTTAAAGTAGGCACCATATTGATGAGAATTCTCCGACATACCTCTAAATTCTTGATCCCATCTTTAAAAAAATTCTCATGCTTTGATATAATAAAAAGTTCAAATGCTCCAATTGCCGCTTCCTTATTGGAGTAAGTTTTATTGCATAAGAAGAGCTCAAAATGCTTAAATGATAATCAGTAGGCGAAATATCAAGTGAATATAGGGAATGGGGTAAATTTTTATAATTCAGGCTATGCAGCTTTCGGACAGTTTTTGTGAAGTGTGCAGCAAAATTGGGCCATCTCTATTCACAAGTCTAGTATGTTTCTTTTTCAATTTTTTGTGCATACACTTAATTTCTCCCCAATACAAAGTTGCTGTTATTGTTCTCTCTTGAGGCAAGAATAAATAACGAGTAAGCCATTTGAAAGTCCACCATAGATTTTAGGGTGCAGAGGAGGTTTTGGGTATTGTTTTGGTGATTCACTTGCAACTAACCACTGGCCTACTCTCTTACTGTTGTCAAAGAGTATCCATTTCTCATTGCATCTAATGAAAAGATGCAAAAATGGTTCTTTTTCCCCAGTTTGCACTCACACAGTAATATTATGCAACATTATTTCAGTGTAATCATTTACATTGGGGCTTATGAGTAACAATATATTGAAAGAAAATTTATCTGGAAAGTATTAAATAGTCAAGAATAAGTTAAGATTTTTGTATATACTGGGGAAAATACTTCATTAAACGACCAGATCAACAAAAAAAAAAAAAAAAAAAAAAAAGCGCCATTTCATGTAACAACCTAATAGTTTAATAATTACTTTTCAGAGTTTGGGTTGCATTGTGTAAAGATTAAAGTTGTAGCAATTAGGTCAAGTGTAGTACAAAAAGCATTTTTAACTTTATTAGAAATGTAAATATTACAAGTTGATCAATTAGTAGTGAATAATGTAACTAACATTTGTCCCTCAAGTGTAAAAGAAAATATATAATTTATTGCCCCCTAATGAGAAAAGACAAGAGCAGCTTGCAAAATTTTCAGGGAAAAAATACAAATCAAAATGTCTACAATTATGAGTAGAGATTATATTTTAAAAAAAAATTTTTTTTAAATACATGGATAGTTGCTCTGCATTAGTATACAGTTGTTTATTGAGCAAAGCAATGGACATGAAAGATGAATTCTTTCACATTTCAAATAAAAGCAAAGGCTAATTACCTTTTTCTCAGCAGGTTGATAAGAATTATTAGTAGTAGTCAGTTTAGATTTGTTGGCACCTTGGTCACCATTAAGGTGAGCAGAAGAGGAGGGTTCTCCAGAGGCATTGGAAGCAGCAAGAGCATCAAGTTCCTGCTGTTGAATGTCACAAGTTTTGAGCACCATAGTGGAGTGATGGTTGAAACGGCGGATTATAGATAAATTAGCTGGATTGACACTACCACGCTTTTCTTCTGTAATAGAACCATAGCCCTGAAAAGAAAAGAAAAATTAATATACATATAGAAATACAAGTCAAAGATTTTAAGTTTTAAAATCAACAATGCTACTGCATGTTGTAACCAAACTATGAAGTCTGCCATTATTTTTGTTTCAAATTTATTTTTTTAGTACACTAAAAATGAATACTGGAATTTTGAAAGAAATTATTCTTCAATTTTTATTAAGAACCTGACAAGTACCTTGATATTTTTTCTCATTCACATCTACAAAATGCAACCAATTATTGATAATATTGCTTAACATTATATCAAATGAAAAGAGTAAAACCATTCAGGTTCTTAGCAAGAATGAAAATAACATTTTTTTTTTTTCAAGAATTTATAGTTAAAGATTTTTAGCAGATATTCTGGCTTACATCTTTATCAAGAACAGGTTAAAAAAAAAAAAAAAAAAAAAAAATTGAATGTTATCTTTAATATTTTCTCTACAATATTCCAAAATATTCAAGTGCGGCTACCAGAATAAAAGTATAGCTTAAAGGTGCCAAATTACTGTTTACAGTATACTGAGCTATGTAAAAAAAAAAAAAAGTAAAGAAAGTCAGCCAAGAGAAGGCATTAACACTAAAGCATCAATCTCAAAAATTCTATTTGATTTGGGCCAAAATTAAAACCATTTCAGAACCTATAGTTACTTACTTCATCAAGGGACCCGTCCTTAATTTGTGTCAAATCCAGCAGGGGGTCATTTACATTTCGGAAAATTTCTTCCTTGATTTCTAAAAATAAAATAAAACAAGTAAAACGTACTGTAAATGTAATAAAAGCAGGAAAATGTGAACATCTGTGTATAAAACATACCCCCCATTCCCAGACATTTTCTAAATAAGAAATGACATTTATTTTGGTAATCGTAGAATTTTAAAAGACAAGCAGCACATTTTCCTTTCATACAAAATCAACGAAGAATAACTGAAGGAAATAGACTTATCAAAAACTGGTTTTATAGAAATCATAACGTGTGTGTGTGTGTGTGTGTGTGTGTGTGTGTAAGACAAAAGGAAAACTTATCCTGACTGATGCATTTTGTCAAAGAACAACCAAGGCTTGCCTTGATAAAGTCCCTCAGAGGACAAAATGCGTCAGCTAAGTTTTCCTTTTACAGATATACTCAATCTGAAATTTTTGTGTGTGTATGTCTGTATGTATGTAAGGGAGATAGAGATATTTTGTTGAATTACTGAAATTCTAAATTCATGGGCCTGATCAATTATTTAAAAACCCAACCAGTTGCCAAATTGTCAGCAACATGAAAACACTGACAGTGCATATAAAAAGTATTTAAAAAACGATTTTTCCAATAAATCAACATGAGCTTGTATTCACTTTTAAAATATAAATAATCATAGTGATAATGTGTTAGTCACTCACCATCATCATCATTTTTTGCACAATCTGAGAACATGTCTTTGCTGCTAAAGTTGATTCTATCTCTATGAAAATAATGTGATTGAAAAAATTTGGTCCAAAATTCATTTTCAGACATTTTATGTGGAACATATTCAGCATGTTTTTTCTTTACTGAAAAGCAAAAGAAATGTAATTCTAATCAATTTGCAACATACAACAAAGACAAGGCTATCAGAACAATAATACTAACAAGAAAATGCACTAAAATATAACTTATTAAATTCATGCTGATGCCTGAGTAATTTTTGGTATGATTAAGCTTGGAAAAAAAAAAGTTAGATTTAAAAGAAATTGCAAAAAAAATTCAAATACACTGATATCAAATTTCTTAATAAAAAAAAAGGGGGGGGATTAGGCAGTTATAATAATTCTACAATAAGTAATATTTTAGAATCAATTTTCTTTTTACCATCAAAATTTGTCATTTAAGCAAAAAAATTTTCATGTTACAATATTTCAAAGGAAGTTAATGATTGTGCTGCAAAAAATTTGTATCATTTTTATTAAATTTACTAATAAAACATTGAAAAGACTTATTTCTGCCTGAATTTCTGGGATGAGAAAGTCATTATTTACATGTGAACTATTGTCCTCATCTTTGTTGTTGAATTTGGTGACATTGTCATTGTGTGTTCTAATCTCTAGGCTAAGCAATGTGTACTTGGACACAGTGGAAACAGGGTGAGCAATAACTGAACAGTACTAAATAAAGAACTAGACAAAGTATACCTAAACATGGGATATGGAACAAGTACAATCAACCCCAACATGTATATGAATTTTAAGCATTATCAGACAAGGTGTTTGAACCCAAAATTGCTAAGAAACCAGATAGGTTTTTAACAACACAACACTTTAATCCATTGGGTTATGTAGATTGAATATAGGATTTGGTTCAAAATTCTGATGAGGTTCCAGAGTACAATGACAAACACCTGAAGTACGCCAGTGGATACAATGTCTGAAAAACTTGTAAAACAGTTGAAATGAGTATTGCTGGTCCAAATAGTTAGGCATATAATACGCCATCTCAAAAATCCAGACAAATGTATTGTAAATAAAATGGTTTTTAAAGCCAGTTATTTTAATTGACACTGAATTATTTTTCGAAATCCAGTTTATACAGAAAAAAATTGGAGGGTATAAAATTCATTAACTAATACTGTAATATAAAAAAAAAATTAAAATTAATCAAATGGATTTAATGAAATTAATTTTTAAAATATTTTACTTAATTGACAACAGTTACATGATTGTGTTTTTTTTGCTTATAGAGACAGGCCTAAAATATAACAGTATTATGAAAAAAAAATTCTAACAGCTCCAGCTGTAAATTTTCTAAAAAGATTTTTTCATGTTTTCTTTATTTTGTCCTCTTTGAAATTATAAATTTTATAAAGAAAACATCAATTTAACATACATTACAATAATTTTACACAAAGAAGGAATTGTTCATTTATTTATTTTAGCAATTTTTTTTTATCCATATCTCTGACAGCAGGTACAAACATACATTGAAAAGATGACAAAATGAAATTAAAAATTGAATCACACTGTTTCAAGCCCATTTACAAACACAAGCTCAGTAGTTATAACATTGGCACTAATAAGGTGGGTTAACTGTGAATTGAAAGAGCCAGTATTTAAAAATATCTTATATATATATATATATATATATATATATATATATATATATATAACATTTCACAAAGTAACAAGAGATATCTCTAAGATACTGGCTACTACTGATAAAGCATTGTGGGAGATACAGGGAGAAACAAATCCAACTATTAAGATAAAAAAAATACTTTAATTAGAAATTCTGAATAAGTAGTGACATAACTTTCCAGCTGACTAGATATTTTACCATTGCTCAAGAACCTAATGATTATATTCTTTAGTTGTTTAGCATGCAATAACCTCCTGATTTAATGTTAATTTCCATGCAAACAGTTTTTGATACAGAAGGCATGAACAGTTAACTTTGGTGTTAAAGTGATACTTGGGAAACAAAATAGCCACTAGTGTGAACATTAAATTTATTGCAATTAGAAAGACTGAAAACTCTTATAAAAAATAATTAAAAAGGATTTGTGTACATTCTATAGAACTAGAGTGATTTATGTTTCGAATGTTGCTTAGCATAGAGAATTTTTTTTTTCATTCTATCAAAAATAAATTCATGTATTTCAAGAATGTCAGTACATATGAAAATTATTTCTAATTTTTAAGTATAAAAATTTGGAATTCCTTTCAAAAACATGAAAATATTCATACTGAAATTCACTAGATTTTTTACTCAATTGGAAACTGTTTTATTCATTCCCCATTATGAATTAACTAATATTTTTGAAAGCATAAATATTGACCAACTGAAAATACTGATATGTTGAAAAAGTATTTGTAAAGCCAATTTTTTTATAGAATTTGTTCATTGGAAGCTATTTGCAGATATAGACCCAGAAGCTTCAATACAGTTTATCCTCCCTCATCTCTTTTACTAATTTTTTTTTTTTAACTGAACTGTTGCAGAAACAAATCAAAATTTTTGATACAACTTTCATGAAGACCTTCAATTACCATTATGATTTCTTTAAATAAAAGATCTTTGAAATTCAATTAAACAATTTATACAAAAATCAATATTACTTGAAACCAAAAATGAATTAAAAACTAAGGTGTTCTTTTCTATTTGTAAAGAAATTTGACCAGAGCTCCATAATAAATTTTGTGAAGCAATTTTTCTCATTGCAATTATAAGAAAAATTTCAATAACAGAAAAAAAAATCAAACAATTTTAAATGAAATATAGGGTGGATTTTTTTTTTTTTTTAATTCTTTATGAAAGAATATTTCTTTGATGACAGATACACAGTATTTCAAAGTTCATGTAAAAGATACATTGAAATAAGATCTCAGACCTACCAACACAATGGTTCAAGCTGTTTTTGAAAAGTAACCAATGGTGATAGATTGCTCAGATTATCAAACAAAACAATTTAAAAATAAAAATGAACTGTGCCAGAGAAGGTAATTATAACTTAACCATCATCCTATACAGTGAGGGAATGGTAACTTCAGCAGTTTTACCTGGCTAAATCCTTTACTTTTATCAACTAATAAAAACGTCCTATGTTACCCCTCATCTGTGGAGATGTATGGTTAAACTCTTCCAGTGAGAAAAAAAAAATCATCTTCAAATATTTTTTAACATGATGTAATGCTGACAAATGAAATGATTGACTTCAAAACAGTTAAATTTTATATAATTAGAAAAAAAAATGAGAAAGAAGAAAAATGTAAAAGGTATTGAGAAAACCTCACATCCAATTGGGTTACTTACCCATAGGATAAGTCTTGAATATAGATTCTATTATATCTGGTGTGAGGTTATATCTAAGCCCATTGCAACCATCAGTTTGGGGTTTGATATCTGCCTGTAAAAGAAAAAAGGTTTTAAAACAAATATTTATCTGAATTGGTTTATTGGCTCAAATCCAAGATACATTGTTAGATTATATTATGCAAATCAAAAAATAAAATTGATATTAACTAACTGCTGCTAGTAAAATTTTCAATATATTTATATGATAAAAACAAAATGTGAATTTCAGTCTATTATATCTCTTTTTACTAGAAATATTTAAAATAAAATGTTTGGTGGTTTGAGATTTTATCATGCAACTTGTGGACTGTTTACTGTGTGTATAATAGTTAATTATTGATATGAGCATAAGAAAGATAACTTTAAAAGAGGAAGAAGACATTGTAAAGGAATTGAGTAAAAGAAAGTTATAAAAGTGTGAAAAAGTTGAACAGTGGTCAGAGAACAAAGAAGAAACCGAAAACATTGGAAGGGAAAAAAGACTGGCTTTAAAAATGTTACAAAAATGATTTGTGAAAAATAAAAAGGGTAATAAACAAGATCAGACTGACTAAGTTTATGTTGCAAATGTAAAGACCATAAAGCAACTCTACCATCTTTTTAAAAAAACATCACAAAGAGAATTGAGTAAGTTAGGTGAAGTACATGAAAACTAATTTCTCAACAGTATTTTTGATGCTGAATGTTGACATACATCAAATGGACCTGTCTGAGCTCGAGGTTGGCTTCTTCATAGAAATCAACATGACAGAGGTTAAGAAAGGTTTTGAACTAGTACTGTAGGTAGTAAGATTATAGGTCTCTTCAAAGTTGATAATGGCATCAATAAATGCAGAGTATTATTGAAAGTTCTTGAACAGGTCCAAAGAAGTTTCAAACTAAAATGTATATTTATGGAAGACAATGCACCTTTGCATTTTGCAAAACTGACTATTGCCAAATGAGATTCCAAAGACACCAAATTAATGAAATAGCTCCCAGCCTTATCAGATATTCTTTTAATAGAAAACTTGTAGCTCATCACCAAAAGAAATGTATATAATAGAAAACAATATTCATACAAAGATTTCTGAGAGGCAGCCAAGACTGCTGCAAGTAATGCTAAAATTGTAACAGCAAAAAAATGGTTGAAAGACTTATGAAGATTTTAGAATGTTGAGAAGCCTACATTAACACAAAATAATAAAATACTTTATTCAGAAAAGATGGAATATTGTATTTATAAGTAAAACTTTATGCTGTACTTATGTTGCATAAAATCTTATATCCTTAAGTTATTGGCCATATTTTTCATATGGATGGCTAATGTAAGCTGAATATTGCTCATACAAATTTGCGTAATAAAATCTGATAGTGTATCATCCTTATTTATTTTGGTACATTCAACAAGTAAAAATTTCTATTACACAATAGGTAACCATATTTATACAAATGCTAAAACGTTTTAATTTATAAAGGTAAATACTTACCAGAAAAGCAGCAGAAACACCCACTGTTTGATTTTTGTCATTACTAAAATTTGAGAGTTTCTGAAAATGAAATGTATTTAAATTTAATAGTTTGTTAGTAGTTAATATTATAAGCCAATGCTAATGAATTTTTGCTTACTTTATCATTTAAAAAAATATTGGAAAGGTACAGAGCTGCAGTTTTAAAGAAGAAAAACATGTCATTTTTCTTTTAACATTCTAAATATAAATGGATGGAGCAAGGTTCTAATTAGCTTAGGTACCTCCACGAGATCGCTAAAAAAAGAGCATAGCATGATGAAAAAGACGCCAAACTTGACGAAAACAAAATTTTATCGTCTAAATGTTTGTTATTCATTAAGAGGAAAGGTCAAAGTATTTTTTGGAATATTTTTTTCCATTTTTAATTGTTCCTAGCACGTCCGAAATTTTCGTTAAAAAATCTAGTTTTTTTTTGAGTCAGCAAAATTGACCATTTTTTCCATTTTAAAAAAACTGGAAATCTGACTTTGAAATTTTTTAAATATCAATTATCATTTTTTCAGACTTATTTTAAGAAAATCAGAAATTATGTTTATTTAAAATATTTTGAACCAAACTTAACTTAGCTTTTGTGCCAAAAAGATGTAATTTGAAAATAAAACAAAGCAGGTCATAAACTTTCGCGTCTCTTGACATGTGATGAATGATATATTTACAATTCCATGAGGCTAATTTGTTCTCTGGAAGGAGAAAAGTGAAATAATTTACATTTACGTGAACAAATTATTTACCCGTTATTTTTTAACGAAAAACTTTCAGTGGTCTAATTTTTTTTTTGTACTTAGCTTTCACCTTTACGTTTATGATGCTTTATGGGAAATATATTCTTAAGAAATTAAAATAAAACTGTTAAGAGTGACATTAAATTTCATATTTCTTAAGAAAGGTATCTAATTAATTTATAGGTACCTTTCTTATGAAATTTTATCAGAATTGTACATAAAATACTATAATTTTATGTACATTTATTACATTCTACTGTTATTTGTATTTGCATTCATTTTATTATTAATTTTGATATTTCATTTATGGAAAAATGTCGTAACTGAGATTAATATAAAAATAAGATCATATAAATTTCGTAAGATGATACTGATACTTGTAGGTAACCTTCTCAGTTGAAATTGAAAAATCAAATTCACTTCTCCACACGTGTTTCGCAAATGTAAAGGCCTTAACAGCGGAGAACAATGCTTAACTCAAATAACACAACTTAATTATATTCTGCTTGGTCTTCCGTATTTTATAATTACAGCTCGATTATAAGCACAAAATTACATTTCTTAATTACTGGGGATCTTCTGATTAGTCAAAATGATACAATTTACAATGCACTAAAAAAGATCTATCTCATAAGGACATTTATGAAAGCCTGTGCGGCTTTTTAACTAATTTTATAATATTTTAACAACTTAAATGTAAAATCTATTATAATTAATGAAATAACAAATAATTGTATTAAAAATTCATTTTTCATCGAAAAAATTTTTTGCTTTCAGAAAATATTGTCCATATTCATAAAAACAAATAAAAGCAAATAAAAGCATTTGAAATTAAATAATATCTTTGTTTTATTGAGTTTTGTATGTTACAATTCAGAACTGATTTTCAGGTACTGGGTATCCAATTAAAAACAAAAAAAAAAAAAAAAAAAAAACATGATTTGCATTCCTCAAAGCCCTGTGCTTTTTAATTATTGTAATCACTAAAACCGATGCGATCAAATTTCTAGCGTTTTCATAAAATTAGTTTGGGGGGAATAAATAAATTTTTAAAAAATATTTCTACCATGACTTTCATAAAAAAACATTTATAATAATTTCGATCATCTGTGAATAGTTCCTGAAAGTTTCATTAACATCCAATAATTATTTCTATTTTTGCACGATTTTTCAAATTAATGTGTGTCATACCAAAAAAAAAAACGTGCTAAAATTGTCTATGTTATTTACTAGTTCTGCTTGATACAAATAGAAACAAGGTTTTTTTAATCAAAATTTAGAATTTTCTAAAAGAAGGAAAATTTTTTTAAAATAATTAAAAAAAAACTTTGGTCTTTACTCTAAATAATAACATAAGCATTTAGACAATAAAATTTTGTTTTCGGCAAGGTTGGCATCTTTTTCATCAAGCTATGCTCTTTTTTTAGCGATTTCGTGGAGGTACCTAAATTAGCTTTTAAAATACATTTTTAAAATGTTCACTGTAAGGATAAAGAGTCAATAAGCAAAAAGAGATGAACTTCAAAATGTAACTTACAGCTGAATGATTAGCCCAGAATTCCTCAGCTGTCATAAGCTGACTAACTACTAAGTCTTTATACAATTGGAAAAGTTTAGGATCTTCCTGTAAAAGTCTGAAAGAAAGAAAAAAAAAAACAGAAGCATGAAGATTATATAATTTTCTTGTAGATTTGTTTTTATATTATTTCAACGTCATTTAATTAGTTAATTATTCATTTTATGAGAATATTTGGGTAAAAGATGAAAAACTGATTTTGAATTGAAGATTTCCACCGTCATTTGATAATACCATCTTGGAAACTAATTAAGTTCTGTAGAAAACTGAAAAAAAAAAGAAAAAAAAAAGTAATTGAAGGTGGCCAAACCAAGCATCAGAACTTCTCCATCAAACTGGCAGCTTTCTCGTTGGCCTGGTTTAATTATGTGTTTTCAGTGATTGTATCAACCACACTTTGCAGATGCATGCAACATTTTGGATAAAGCAGTTTCTAATAAGTAACCTTTTTCTGATTTAAAAATGGCTTCAAACAAATTCAAATATCTGAATGATCATTTTGAATTATTTGTCAATAAAAGCAGTTCTTATTTTTGAGTTTAAAAACTGACAACTGCAGCTAAATGACTGGAAGGTCTGGTAAATGTAGTTAAAATATCAAAATCTACTCTATACATACTGAATTGTAAGAGGGTAAAAATTCTACACTTTAGAAATTTATCAAATCTTTCTAACCAACCTAATAATTGGTCAGACATAATGGAGTATTTAATTTTTGTAATGGTTTACTAAATAAAACCGCCTTTTTATGATCTTATCAGTTTGCATTAACAAATGTAGATATATTTTTATTACACTAACAAATGTTTTTTGTGAAGTATGAAATCTTTAAATAAGCAAGTCTTGGAAACATTTTATAAGGTGTGCCAAGTATTTGAGAACCCCTTTAGTGGACCATAAATGGAAAAACTAACAAGCAATGTTATCTAGCATACACCAAATTTTTAAATTCTCATTTCTTTTTCAGACATACTGAAAGCATTAAGATGGCAACTTTCAATCTAACACAGAAAGTGAAAGGATATGCCCTGTTTGTAGTTGTCAACTACGGTAACACAGAGTTAGCAATCTCCTTAAAAAAAAATAATTGCAGGAAGAACAACTGGTGGACCCCACTGAAGTAACCATAGTGATGCACACCAAGTTTATTTTATCAAATTTAAATTAGGTATTTGCCAATTAAGATATTGTGAATTTAATCTTCAAATTTAGGAATATTTTCATAGTTCAAATGAGAATTTAAAAAAAAAAAAAAAACTTACTTGTTTTTTTCTTCTAATTCACTGCTGACCTTTTTTCGGAACTGAGGCAATAATTGTTGCAGAAGTTCCTTAATTGTGTCTCGGTCTTTGAGTTGTTGTTCACGGCCTTGTGAGTGGTTAAAGTGGAAGGTATTTGCACTGCCATCATACATCAAGATTTGCAACTGAACTTTCTCTTTAGAATCAGGTGAAATCTTTTGTACTAGAAAAACAAAAATGAACAGAATTAAATAAGTATGTTTGCAAGTACAATTGTTTGTATGAGCACAAAATTTACATCAAAACTTTGAGGCTATTTTCTTTGTTCATAAAAAACATTGTCATTCATACAGAACTCGGCAATGGAATAGGAAATAAAGTAGCAAGGGAAGAAACAAATTAGATACAAATAAAAACTTCTTTATTCAAAGATGTTTAGACCCCCCCCACCAAAAAAAACTGCAATTACCTTTAATGTCAGAGTAAGGATGACTGATGGTGAATGTGTTTTTGTGAGCCTGCATCCAAGCCAACCGCTCACCCATAAGATAAAGGGAGCCATCCACTTTCTTGTGGCGAACATGGTTTACTATCAACAGAACTTCTTCTGATGATCTTGCCATTTCGCCAGAACGGTGCCGTCATCTGGAACAAAAATTAAGTTTAATTGTAGTTTGCTTTCTTTAGAAAAGAAATAAATGTAAACCATTATTGAATAATAATTGGGAGGGGGAGGGATTGTACAAATGTCAACGATTACATTCCATAAAAGGTTGTATATAATTTAGCAATCCTTTCCCAATATTCCTGTTTAGAGTATTTTATTTCAATATCCAGTTGTACTAATCAATCAATCAATAAGCTTCTTCATATTAAGACTGAAATAAAACTAAGCATGACAGAATTACAAAATCACTTTTCTATCATACATTTTTATGCTTAACTATATAATTCTTTTTTTTATTTGTTATAATTGGACAAACATTATCATCTCAAAAAAACAATCAATGGGAGAGGAATTCAAATAGAATATCACCAAAATATATTGATGTAGCAAAAGAAATATCTTGCAACATGCCAGACATTCAACATAAAACAAATTGCATAAAAGCATTAAAGCGACAGTTTTTTTGCAGTCACCATTCATTTAATTTTTCTACAGTATGCCATTTAGATAGTGAAACGATGCAAATATAGGGAAATTTTACAACTCATTAGAGTGATAACAAATGGGATGAGAGTCTAATGAGTTTTTAGTGACTGAGATAGGACTTTAGTTTGAATAAAAGTTTTGTTTTTGTATTACAGAGCAAAGCTAGAAATTTTCATGTATCTACATGCATTTAATGTAGCAGATATCATGACCTTTTAAAGTTACTTATGAAACACTAGCAGTAGAGCCCAGCGTTGTGGGGATGTAACAGTAAGAGTAGGTACCTCCACGAGATCGCTAAAAAAAAGAGCATAGCATGATGAAAAAGACGCCAAACTTGACGAAAAAAAAATTTTATCGTCTAAATGTTTGTTATTCATTAAGAGGAAAGGTCAAAGTATTTTTGGGGTATTTTTTTCCCATTTTTAATCGTTCCTAGCACGTCCGAAATTTTCGTTAAAAAATCTAGTTTTTTTTGAGTCAGCAAAATTGACCATTTTTTCCATTTTAAAAAAAAATTTAATCTGACTTTGAAATTTTTTTTTTAATATCAATTATCATTTTTTCAAAACTTATTTTAAGAAAATCAGAAATTATAATGTTTATTTAAAATATTTTGAACCAAACTTAACTTAGCTTTTGTGCCAAAAAAAAGATGTAATTTGAAAATAAAACAAAGCAGGTCATAAACTTTCGCGTCTCTTGACATGTGATGAATGATATATTTACGAATTCCATGAGGCTAATTTGTTCTACGGAAGGAGAAAAGTGAAATAATTTACATTTACGTGAACAAATTATTTACCCCGTTATTTTTAACGAAAAACTTTCAGCGTCTAATTTTTTTTTTTTTTTTTTAGCTTTCACCTTTACGTTTATGATGCTTTATGGGAAATATATTCTTAAGAAATTAAAATAAAACTTAAGAGTGACATTAAATTTCATATTTCTTAAGAAAGGTATCTAATTAATTTATAGGTACCTTTCTTATGAAATTTTATCAGAATTGTACATAAAATACTATAATTTTATGTACATTTATTACATTCTACTGTTATTTGTATTTGCATTCATTTTATTATTAATTTTGATATTTCATTTATGGAAAAATGTCATAACTGAGATTAATATAAAAATAAGATCATATAAATTTCATAAGATGATACTGATACTTGTAGGTAACCTTCTCAGTTGAAATTGAAAAATCAAATTAACTTCTCCACACGTGTTTCATAAAAAAGTAAAGGCCTTAACAGCGGAGAACAATGCTTAACTCAAATAACGCAACTTAATTATATTCTGGTTGGTCTTCCGTATTTTATAATTACAGCTCGATTATAAGCACAAAATTACATTTCTTAATTACTGGGTATCTTCTGATTAGTCAAAATGATACAATTTACAACGCGCTAAAAAAAGATCTATCTCATAAGGACACTTATGAAAGCCTGTCTGACTTTTAACTAATTTTATAATATTTTAACAACTTAAATGTAAAATCTATTATAATTAATGAAATAACAAATAATTGTATTAAAAATTCATTTTCATCGAAAAAATTTTTTTTTCTTTCAGAAAATATTGTCCATATTCATAAAAACAACTAAAAAGCAAATAAAAGCATTTGAAATTAAATAATATATGTTTTTTATGAGTTTTGTATGTTACAATTCAGAGCTGATTTTCAGGTACTGGGTTTCCAATTAAAACAAAAAAAACATGGTTTGCATTCCTCAAAGCCCTGTGCTTTTAATTATTGTAATCACTAAAACCGATGCGATCAAATTTCTAGCGTTTTCATAAAATTAGTTATGGGGGGGATAATAAATATTTTTTAAAAATATTTCTACCATGACTTTCATAAAAAAAAAAATATTTATAATAATTTCGATCATCTGTGAATAGTTCCTGAAAGTTTCATTAACATCCGATAATTATTTCTATTTTTGAACGATTTTTCTAAAAGAAGGAAAATTTTTTAAAAATAATTAAAAAAAACTTTGGTCTTTCCTCTAAATAATAACATAAGCATTTAGACAATAAAATTTTGTTTTTTTTTCGCAAGGTTGGCGTCTTTTTTTCATCAAGCTATGCTCTTTTTTAGCGATTTCGTGGAGGTACCTAAGTAAGAGATAAATCAAGTATCGACCATCATAAAGACTGAAAAATAAAATTGACAAAGATTATTGTTTAAGGTTGACGGACACTCATGTCTTAATTATTTTTTTTTTTTACGAATTGGTCAAACCAAACTCAAACAAAAACATCGTTTTCAATCGTTATGAGTCTACAAATTGAATAGAATTTTATTATATTGTCTTGTAAATGGAATTTTTAAAGCATTCTGAATGTAAAAAGAAAAAAAGTTTGCAAGACAATAAGAAACACTACCTGCCAAAAAAAAAAAGTGAAGTTTTGTTGAAATCGGTTGAAAAATGTAGGAAATCCGATCCCATATATAAATGAACACACACACACAAACAAACAACCTGGGTTTTATAATAAGTATAACTTGATATGAGTTGTCCCCCTTTTATTTTCACGATGCCTCATGTTTCAAATTGATTTTGTGCAAAAACAATTGTTTTTCCAATTTTTGGCGCTGTCAGAACCATCGCAAGGTAATTTTACGTAGTTCTGTGAAGTTTTGTTGAAATCGGTCGAAAAATGTAGGAAATCCGATCCAATATATAAACGTACAGACACACACACAACCTGGGTTTTATAATAAGTATGATAACAGGAATTGTATCAACTTAAAAATGTACAAACATCTCAACCAATAAGTCTCAATGAAAACAAAAAATATCAACAAGCAAATCAAATATTGAGCAATAAAATGTATTGATTGCTACATTGGAGAAAAATAAAAATTTGCTTGTAATATTTTAAGATATGAGAAACATGTTCATTCATGTAACCTGCTTTCATTATACTTGTTACAAAATTACTAAAATGGACCATCTTTTTATAGTATAGTGGCTAATTTCATTAAAAATTTTGAGTATGACAGTTGTTTTGATGGTAAATGGGTATTTCTTAATGATCAGACAAAGAAATTACAAATGTAAACATTTTGAATGATAAAATTAATGATTTACTAGTAATATTTTTCATAGAATATTTAAAAAATACTTGATTTAAAGTTATTTTTCTGCTCTTAATCAGTAATTACCTAAGTAATTATAGAATTTTTTTTATTCTGATGATTTTAAAGACATTATTCAGGAATTATTTTGCTATAATTTAATAGTTTCACTAATACACAGTGTGCTGCAAAGCTCTCAGCCTAAACAAGAATCCAAAAAAGTAATTCTAATGTTTTGTCACAATTTGGGAGGTAGGTCAGGCCAAGAACTTTTCAGTAATATTTTATATATATACACATAAAAACACAGAATATGTTACCACTATTGCAAAAAGAAAAAAAAAGTTTTATTATTTAGTATCTTTGATGAAGTGCTTTGATTGGTTCAGTAACATATCAAAGCAAGTTTGATGTCTACTTTTGATCAAAACCAGTTTGCGTACAGAGCGAATAATTTGACAGATGCCATTGCTCGACATATTGCATTAATCCATTTAGAGAAAAAGGGGAGTTATGTAAGAATGCCTTTTGTTGACTTTAGGTCTGCCTTTAACATGATCATCTTGAGTAGACTGGTCACAAAGCTCACATGACTAGGACTATCTTAGCCCATCTGTCATTGGGTTAAGGACTTTCTGACAAACTCTTAAACTTTCATGCTCAGCATCAGTAACCACATCTTCATACACCATCTACACTTGTGATTGCATTGCTATCCATACCCCCAACATAATCATTCATTTTGCAGATGGCATTATTGTGGTTGAACTTATTTTCAGAGGTGATGAGGAATACTGAACAAGTGAAATAGAAAGATTGGTTACATGGAACCTTGCCTTAAATACCTTAAAGACAAAGGAGCTGGTGGTGGACTTTTGAAGAAATGCCACAGCACCTGTTCCTTTGGTTATTGGGTTTTTGTAGAGAGAATGGATAAAATTAAGTTTCTGGGAATGTGCAACACAAAGGATCTCTCCCCATCACAATCCAGAAGGCATAGAAACAATTCTATTTACAGAGAATGCTCAGAAAAATAATTTACAAAGGGAACTGTTGATACTGACACCATATAGTATGCCAAAATTTAGAATTTTTTTGTGTATATAAATGTGCCAATTTGTGCTGTTTGTAAATACAGATGTCCACACAAGACATTATCAGTAAATAAGAGCAATAACTATAGTAAATTTTAAGCCAAAGTACCTTAAGTTCAATAAAACATTAAATTATGAAGAATATTTTCCTAAATTTTTTAAGATTATTGGGTAGAAATGATAAAAAACCACCCCAAGTAATTTTTACAG